CTGCAGCCTACGCCATCACCAGCAACTCACCACAGCCCAGCTCCAGGTCGAGCTGTTGTTCACCATCTTAGCTGTAGAAGGCAGCGTCACTGGCCCATGTGGGATCCGAACCTGCGGCCCTGCTGCTCAGAGCTCGTGCTTCCAAGCCAACTCTTAACCAACGAGCCACTTGGCCAGCCCCAGAAATTTACTTTTTTTAATATATCTTTTTTATTGCTGAAAATTTTATGTTCTGAATTTCTTCATGATTTTTTTTTTTAATTGGGGGACTGGGGATGGGGAACAGTGTTGGGAAATTGGAGAACAGGAAGAGCCAAGTTGTTGTCCTTCAATCTTAGTTGTGGAGAGCCCAGCTAGCTCAGCTCCAAATCCAGTCGCCAGCCAGCCGCCCCGTCGACAGCTCACGGCCACTCAGCTCAAGGTGCCATGTTCAATCTTAGTTGCGGGTGGGTGTAGCCCACCATCCCATGCAGGAATTGAACCGGCAACCTTGTTAGGAGCACACGCTCTCACCAGCTGAGCCACCCTGCCACCTATTGGCAGCTCAGCAGCAGCTCAGCTAGGGCACAGCTCACTGACCCATGTGGGAATCAATACGGCGACCCTGTTGCTCAGAGCTCACACTCTAAACCAGTTGAGCCACTCAGCCAACCCTCTTCATGATTTTGTATATTATTTAACTTCATGTTCTACATAAATCTGCAGAAAAATTAAACTCAAAATTTGATTTGCTTAAACTTATTACTGTCTCATGGTGTTCCCATGATTAAGTGAATCATGAAATAATTTATTTAATTTACAAATTACTCTTAATTAAGTAAAACTGTTTGTATGACAATTTTTTAAGCATGAATACACTAGTTTTGTATTTTCCTAGAAAACTTTTAGCAGATAAATGGTTTCTTATTTTTTACCCCCATTCTTTGGGTGTTTTTGCTTGGCTGTCTAGCTTCCAGTGTTGTTAACTTTGTGATTTGGCTAACTAGTGATGCTTTTTCCTTAGAAAACACAACAAAACAATGTCTACTGCCACGTGCACTGACCCGACGCCAGGTGCGTGCTCTGCAGGATGGTGCTGAGCTCTATGAAGCAGTAAGGACCGCACCAGACCCCAGTTACCTGGAGGTGAGAGAAGAGCAGGGCACTTCACCCCTTAGGTGGAGAGTTGTGGTCGCCCTCTGGCCATCACGGGTTGCGGAGTGTTAAAGCCTGTTCTCAGAGGCTCCTCAGTGGTGTGCCAAACCTGTGGCACATTTTGATTCTGTACCAAATAGAGGGTAGGAAGGTTAAATAACTTTAGATGGTAAATAAACATGGCTTAAAATGCAGGCAAAATTTGTTTACTTTTAAGATAAAGCAAGTATCTACAAAGCAGTGCCTTAGTCTCCACGTTCTCAGCTTTTTCTCGGGTCCTACTTAGAGTCTGTTTCATAATCCTCTCCCTTCAAGGCACTGAGGTGGAAAAGTTTCAGAAGCACTAAACTGTTGGAAATAGCAGAGGCTTTAGAATCATGGCTCTGCCATTTGTTAACCAAGGAAATTGTGCATAAAATATTGGGTTGTCGGGACAGTCATGATGCACTTTTGCATTGAAAAACATAGAAAAATACGTCATGACTTTTCCAACGACCCAATAGCTATAAAATAAATTGTTTTAGGATAAAATTAGATAATGTATATAGAAGTGTACTGTTATAAAATTCCATAAAGATGTTAGTTAATATTATTAGAACATTTCATATATTCAGGTAAGCGACCTCCTAAATTTTTAGACACCCAGGTATCTAATTAATGCAAATTCTAGGATTAGTTTGCTAGATAGGGAGAAGATGGGAAGTGTTAGGAAAACTATTGTTTGTTTGTTGGTAAATCTCATTTATTTGATGACAGTAAATCTCCTCTGTAGCCTTAACCTTCTGAAATAGCTGGACTACAAAACAAGTAATGTTCTGTTAGGAGAGTAAGCAGTGCTGTTCTGAATGGAACTCCCCCATGTTCCCAAGTGGTTCAGCCCATTCTCCCTGTGAGACGTCAGCCCCGTTGTAAATCCTGGTGGGGTACCTGCTACAGGTCTGTGAGTGAAGGGTTCATTCTGCTTTCCTGGAAAATTACTTGCCTCTCGCTCTTATTACCTATGTAGAAGCTTATGCGTTCTTTGAGTCATCATGAAGATAGTTGTAATATCATCCACAACATTTAACAAGATCTTTATTACTCTGGAAGCCTTTTGTAGAATTTATTTATAAGGACAAAATAGGAGACAGAATGACAGCTGGAGGGGCTAAGTTCTAGACCTGATCCAGCCACCTTGTAGCTGGACATGTAAGTTCTCTCTCAGGCTTCCTTTCTACCTTCTGTCAAGAGAAGGTCTGAGAGGGGCTTATCTCTGAGTTTGTGTGTTGGTACGGTTCTATGAGATTTCACTTAGGTAAAGTTATTGTAATTTTTTTTTTTAAGATTTTTTTTTTAATTGGGGAATCAGGGGAGGGGAACAGACAAGTTGCTGTCCTTTTGTTCTTCAGTCTAGTTGTGGAGGACATTGCTTCACTGGCCCATGTTGGTATTATGATCATTGGGCTCTTCCCAGGTGAGGCAGATTGGTCGCCGGCCTTTGGACAACCGCTCACGGCAGCTCACGCTGGCTGCCTGCCACTCACAGTAGCTTTACGGCAGCCCACTGCAGCCTCACTGCAGCCTACGCTGTCGCTGGCGACTCACAGCAGCCCAGCTCCAGGTCGAGCTGTTGTTCACCATCTTAGCTGTAGAGGGCACAGCGTCACTGGCCCTAATGTGGGATCCAAACTGGGGCCCTGCTGCTCAGAGCTGGTGTCCCAAGCCAACTCCTAACCAACGTGCCACTTGGCTGGCCCAAGTTACTGTAATTCTTGAAGGGGAAAATAACCATCTATTTCTAAAATACCCTGTCAAAGGTTTGTTTTGAGTGACAACATTAAATGTTGTGGAACTTGGGAAACCACAGTTTTTTGGTTTTTTTTGTTTTTTTTAATTCATGTTTAAACTAAACACTGTCTACATTTTTTAGAAAATCTTCTCAGGGTACAGAGAGTTCAGACTCACTTCCCAGTGTAGAGCAGGATATTAAGATGTGTAAAGGCAACAGCAGTTTAGTGTTAGGTGTCAGAATTCCATTTTCTATTTCATTTTATTCTGGTTTTGTTAATTCATTCGTTTAATTTTGTTACACTGGGCTGAGAGTCCCAAGAGGTACAGACAGCAGTTTGGTGAAATATTGGGAGGGAAGCGTGGAGGCAGAGGTAAGTTCTCACAGCACATGCCTGTGTTAAATCGCATCTGCTGTTCCAGAGAGTTCATAAAATTATACCACAGGTCTAAGAATGAGGGTTCTTGAGCTAAGCGATGCCTCTATCCCTCTGCGAGGTTTTGTCTCTGTATCTCAATTTCATCATCTATAACATGGAAACAATAGTATCTACCTCCTAGGATTATTGTACGGATTAAATGAGTTAATACATTTACCACACATAGATCCATTTCTCAGATAGAGCGAGCTCTCAAGTGTTAGCCATTTATAATGCCGTCTCTGTTGATGATTATAATTATTATAGTCACATGTATAAGTAGGGGGTGGCTTTGGCCCTAGGGAAATTTGTCACAAAAATTAGTAAACAGTCTAAGGCATCTGAAACTATTTATGTGATAAGCTGAGTACATTCATCTCAGTTTTTATATTGTCACACCCTTAAAGTGAACTCCGTTGTGTTTTTATCCCTTAGATGTAAAGGATTCACTTACAATAGATGAGGTGTTTTGTCTTTGTTTTGTTGCTTTTCATGCCAATATTATCTGCCTTCACATATTAAATGATCACAGGGCTATTTTAGTGAAGAGCAGCTGAGAGCCTTGAATAATCACAGGCAGATGTTGAATGATAAGAAGCAAGCACAGATCCAGCTGGAATTCCAGAAGGCTGTGGAATCTGCTGAGCCAGGGGAGCAGATGGTACCAAGGGACGTTACGACTGTGTGGAAGCTGCGAGTCATAAGCCATGAGAAAAAAGGAAATGATTCAGGTCAGTATGTAAATGTTTTGGTTTTATCAGTTTTAAGTTAAAGTATTATCATATTAATAAAATGACCCCCAATGCTGAATAAAGTATAAAGTTAGTGTATATCAGAGGAGCAAAAATGGGCTACCAGCACCCAAAAACTGATAATAGAATCCTTAAACCTCAGTTATCAGAGTTCATTTTTAAACAAGAATCTCAGTGATTATCAGTTCTTCCATTGTGTCTTTTTCCTCTTTACCTAAATAGCTATACTGAGTATCTGGCGTCCGTCATCAGACTTATATTCCCTGTTAACAGAGGGAAAGAGATACAGAATCTATCATCTTGCAACATCAAAATCTAAAAATAAACCTGGAGGAGCTAATATACAGTTAACAGCAACAAAAAAAACTCAGTACCAACAGCTACAGGTACACTTTTCATTGTAATTTTTCAGTTTTGATGAATGCATATTAGTTTATAGAATTGACATACATTGATTTTTTTCTTATAGGCTTCAGACGAAATCCTATGCCAAGTTTATCAGCCAAGGAAGCCTGTTCCTTTCAACCAGTTACTGATTCCGGACTTCCAGCCACCTTGTTCGGAGGTGGACCTAATAGGATTTGTAATTTCTGTGGTGAAAAAAATAGGTAAAGTACAGCATATTTAATTGTAGCTTTTTATTGATGCTTTTCAAAAACATTATCTTTTAAATTTTGTCTGCCTTATGATTAATTGGAGCTACAAATTGGCAAATTTGGTAACTTAGTGATTTGAAAGTAGGCCTGTTTTAATCTCAGTTCTTAATGAAAAGCAGTTCTGCAGTATTACAAGGAAAGAACTTGCATCTCATTCTGTGCTACTTAATTTTAAAGAAATTGCTAGAAAATATTCTGCAGCATTTTAGTGATTACTAGATAATAATTATAATTTCCCTGTGCAGTTAACTGAGGATTCAAGCCATCACCTCCAGCTTCGGGTTTTGGGTTTCTTTTTCCTTTGCAATATCCCTTATTGTCCCTAATAATATCCCTTGTTCTAAACCTTTTTTTTTTTTTTTTTTAATATAGCTGCTCTAACTTTTTTATGGTTAATGTTGGTTTGCATGGTGTATATCTTTTCCCATTCTTTTATTTTTAACCTGTCAAGGTCTTTATATTTCAAGTGTGTTTCTGATAGACAGCATGGTTGGGTCTTGCTCTCTCATCCAGTCTGACACTCTTTTTTTTTTTTTCCCCTCATCTTTTTATTTATTTATTTATTTGTACATTCAATATTATTTTACATAAATTTCAGGTGTACACATAGTGGTTAGACATTTATATAGTTTAAGAAGTGATCCCCCTGATTAGTCTAGTACCCACCTGACACTATACAAAGTTATTATCGTATTATTAATTATATTCCCTATGCTTTACTTCACATCCCCATGAGTATTTAGTTACAACCAATTTGTACTTCTTAATCCCTTCACCTTTTTCACCCCTCCTGAAAAACCCCCTACCATCTAGCACCCCAGTAAATCTAGTACCCATCTGACACCATACAGTTATTACAATATTATTGGCTGTATCCCTTATGCTATAACGTGCATCCCCATGACTCCTTTGTAACAACCAATTTGTACTTCTTAATCCCTTCCCTTTTCTCACTCATTCCCAACCCCTGACACTCTATCTTTTAACTGGTCTGTTTATTCTGATCACCTTTACTCTGACATTGATAAGGTAGGATTAAAATTGACCACCTTGCTGCCTGTTTTCAATTTGTCCCATCAGTTTCTCGTGTTGGAAGGCAAGCCACATGACATTTCTACATACTTGGTAGTAGCTGTTGTCTTCGACTGTCTCTTCAGGAATGTTTGTAGAGCAAAGAGGTCTGGGAGGACTGAGAGCTGATTGTTTCCTGACCAGGAAATCGGATCTCTTTTTCTATGAGTTTTTGGTTTTGTTTTTTTGGTTTCACATGTAAGTGAAATCATATGATATTTGTCTTTCTCTGTCTGACTTATCTCACTGAGCACAATGCCATTGAGGTCCAGCCACGTTGCTGCAAATGGCAGGATTTCCTTCTTTTTTTTACAGGTGAATAGTATTCCTTTGCCTATACCACATTTTCTTTATCCACCCATCTATTGATGGACACTTAGGTTGTTTCCATACCTGACTAGTGTGAATAATGCTGCAGTGAACATGGGGGTGCAGCTTTCTCTCTGAGAGAGTGATTTCATTTCCTTCGGCTATATACCCAGAAGTGGAAATGCTGGATCATATGATCATTCTATTTTTAATATTTTGAGAAATAAATAATTTTAAATAACAAAGAAACTCCATTTCTCTCCAGCCCCTTCACTCTGTCCTTCCCAAGGAAAGAGGCATTTACTTGGTGACCATGGGAAATGGGTCATTGCCCTCATTTTACTTCAGCTGTCTTCTGCTCTCTTCCTTGGAACCTGTGAGCCCAAAGTCTGTGTTTCTCCCCCTCTGCTCTTCCTTCCTCCAACGAGCAAACAAACCCCCAGCACAGAACCCTGCACCTTGGCAAGATGCAGGAAAGGCTTTTGTTGTTCCATCTGAAATCAAAGCCAATCGTGCAAAAAAAGTGGGTAGTCGACACTCCTTTGATGTCTCTTTTTCTCCTTTGGTTCACAATTATCATTCTGCAAAACCCCAAGAATAGGGGAGCGAGAAGAATTTGATGAAATGAGGTTAAGTATGGAAACCTAGGTTGAAAGCAGAGGAGATGATAACCACTGTGTCTGTGAGGCTGGTATGTTTGCAAAGTGTCAGCTTCACCTTTACTACTCCCAGCGTCTTAGCCAAATTCATCTATATTACAGTCCTTAAATATGACACTGTACATTCCTCTTTCCTTACCTCTTTCCATATATTCTGCCTACAAAACCAAACTTTCATCTCCCTAAATGCTATGAAGTGTCAAGGACCAGCTGAGGTCTGAGTTGAAGAACAAAGCCTTGTATTTATTGGTTATTTTGTGCCCGGCACCCCCCGTCTTCTGTCCTCAGTCTGTCCCCCACTCCACTTCAGCTACGTTCACACCTTCCTTGTTGCTCTGAGCCCACCGAGCTCACCTTCACCACAGCCTTTACACCCACTGCTCCCCAGAAACTTTTCTGACAGACACGTGGCTGGCTCACTTGGCTCCTCCAAGTCCCTGGTCAGAGGCAGCACTCTTAAGTGGCCTTTCCCTGACCACTTATAAAAGAACGGTCCTCCCCCTGCTCCCAGTCCCGCTTTAAACCCACCATGGTGCTCAGCAGCACCTGACAGTAGACATTTATCTGGTTTCTGTCTCCCTCATCCAGCACATGAGCTGTGTCCTCAGCTCCCAACACAGTGCCTGGTACAGGGCAGGGTCTCAGAGGTTTGGTGGATTCCTCGTTGTCAGCTGCCCTGTCCTGGTCTGTCCCTTCCTCTGTTCTTTGGCTAAGGTGTACTGTCAGTCTTTTTTTAAGAAGGCCTCATGTGTGCCATATTCCATGAGTTCCTCATATTTTGAATGTTTACCTACTTCCTTACTTCTGAAACTGTATCTTGGCTATGCATAATATTATGGGATCACGCTTTCTTTCCTTCCCTTAGAACTTTGTAGAAATTGTTCTTTTGGCATTCAACAGTCTGAGACTGGCCTAATTTTCTCCCCCATCTAGGTGGTTTTCTTTTTGTGTCTAGATGTCTGAAGAATATTTTGCTTTGTAGTTCAAAAGCTTTACTAAATACTTACTTGATATAAATATTCTGTACACAACTCTCCTGGGACACAGGATCCTCTTAATTTGCAGACTCGGTGCTTTCTTTATTTCAGGGTAATTCTGTCATTTCTTTGAATATATCTGCTGTTCCATTTATTGGGATTTCTACTTCAAGGACACCCATTAGTCTTATGTTGGATTGTTTTTGTTTTTCTCTCTTCTCTGATTGCTTCTATTTGTCTTTTTCATCTTCATTCACCATTATGATGTCCAGCCTTTATGTCAGTAATTTTATTTTCTACAGTGTTTTATTTCTTGCTATTTCTAATGCACGTATCTTCCCATTATGATCACATATTGGTGTCCTCAATTCATTTCTTTGGCCCTGCAGTCTCCTTATCATCTTAACAGGGCTATTTATCATCCCATAGTCAAGCTTTTGTTGTACTAAATTTATGTTCTTATTGGATTCAGTGGCATGAATCAGTTTTGAAGACACGAAACCGTCTCTGTTCTTTTCATCTTGTTTTCTTATGAGCTGTGCTCTGTTTTTGCTGCTCTCTTTTCTCCTCTGTTTTAATGGGTTTTGTTTGGGTGGTTGTGTTTTGGAGCTTTGCGAGTTTTCTCTAACTGTAGTATGTTAATACGCTTCATTGTTTCCATAGCATTTCATTTTATCTTGGTCAGACTTAGGTGACGTTTTCCACACATTCTATTGTTACAGATGGTGGGTAACTTGTATTCATTCATTCAGTCAATACTTATTGAATGCCTGCTGCTACCAGGCACTGTGGTGAGTGCTGGGTGCATAGCGATGAACAAAACGCGCAAAACTCCCTGCCCTCAGGGAGCTTCCACTATGGTGGGGGAGTGATCGCAAACAAAACAAATAAGTAGCATGTGAACTCTTCTTAGTAAGTGCAGATGAAAAGCATTAAGTGGGGAATGACAGGTAGTATCAGGGAAGAGAGAAGAAATGCAGCTTGGGGTAGGGAGGTGAGGAGAGACCTCGCTGCAAAGCTGACAGTATCTGAGTGAGGCTTGAAGGACCAGCGGGAGGGAGGCATGTGGACATCTGGGAGCAGCATTCCAGGCAGAAGGGATGGCAGTTAACAAGGTCACAAGACACAGCATCCTGCCCAGTGCCTCTGAGCAGTGGCAGAGGCCGGGAGTGTGTGGGCTCACAGCCAGGTAGAGGCACTGAAGGACAGATCATATGCTGGGCCTGGTACCAGCTTACTTTCTCTGAGGATGGGAGGAGTGACACCATCTGACTAGGTGTGCAGGGGTCACTCAGGCCCCTGAGAATAGATTGTAGGGGGCATGAGGGTACAAGCAAGAACCAGTGGGCGACTACTACAAGAAGTGAGGCAAGAGACGCTGACAAGAGCCTGGGTCAGACAGCAGCTAGGGGAGTGGTCGGTCAGACGTCGTTAGAGTTGGGCTGTACCCTGAAGGTAGGGGGGCAGTGCCACAGTGTTTGGTCTGAGTACCTGGAAAACGGACCTGCCATTCATTGGGAGGAAAAGGGCCGTGGGGAAGGCCAGGAGCTCGGGTTGGACAGTGATCTAGGTGCTTGATCTAAGTAGACATTTCTACCCGACAGCTGGACACAGAAGTCTGTTCCAGGGAATGGGCTGGGCTGAAGATATGAACTGGGACGTCAGCATCCAGGCGGTGTTTAAAGCTGTGGGACTGGCTGAGGTCATGCAGTGTGGCCGTAGAGAGAGAAGTGACTCAGGCAGTCACGCCTGGAAGCAGAAATGGAGAGGAGCCAGTTAAAGACAGGAGGAGCGGCCAGCAAGGTTCGGGGGAGACTAGAGGGAGCTGTGCTGAGGCCGAGAGACAAGAAGGGGTTCAGAGAGGATAGTGTGAGCACGTCTGTGGGCCGGCACCTGAGAGCACTGTGGAGAGCTGAGGGCTGCATGGTACTGGCTT